ATCACTCGACCCCCCTTTCCTTTTAAGATTTTGGGGGTGGTCTCACCTCCGCTTAGGGGGCTGCACGTGCTAACGTGATTTTTTGCCAAACTTGTGTCTCCCTCGAAAACAAAATCGACGGGTCTGAGCGTTTTTCAAAAAAAAAAACTGAGCTGCCAGTAAATGCGTCTGTTTCGTTTTCGATGAGCCACCTTGTATAAAAAAACTCACCTGGTGGACAGGCCAGCTGTACCGCACCTCCAAGCGAAACTTCGACTTGTCTCCCCGTCGAGCTCAATTCGCTGACGTCAAAGTCCGGCTCTGATGTTACGTCTACGTCATCTGGAACATACGGGGAAAAATCAGGTTTCTTAAGTGAAATTAAAAAGGCTCATAAAGTTTACAAAACTCTCAAAATATATTTTCTGGAAAACGTATCGACCTGCCGACTCAGAAATTTCTTCTTCCGACAGTCTGTTTTCAAATATTCTGCGAAAAGATATTTTCTTTTTTCGTACGTTTCCATCGTTTCGGTGGAACACCGAATACTGATCTGTAAACTATCCGTTTGGCAGAAGCCGGCACAGTGGAGGATCCGCGATCATTAAGCATTGTTTAATTATAAAGTGGAACCTTTAATGGCAATTTGATATGCCATAAAACTGCAGCAAGCGTGCACCATAAAAGAGAATTTATCGTCGTACTGTCTGTTGGTAAAAAATCGTGCGAGATATAGTGTTCGCTCGCCGTAAATTAATTTTATAAAGTTCCTCGCAGCCGCTGCCACCTCGAATAGACGCCACGACGCGTCCTTCATTTTAAACTCACTATTTACGACTTTTATCGTTTGCTCCGGGACAAATAACAGCTTTTTCCTTCAGCAGCAACCGCATCGAACTCGTACTTGTATGAATGTTTGAAAGATCCTAATACACTAGAAACAGTTTTCGATGTGCTTTTTAAAAGTAGAACTGGTTACAGTTTTTTATACGGATCGTACCTTGAACATTCAAACCAAAATAAGCAAAGCAACGACCCTCCCGCCCCCCCATAGTGCTCACGTAATACTTGAACGGCCCCTAACATACTAGAAATTATATCTAATATTCAATCTAAATAAAAATATGAGAGGATATGATTATATTTCAAGCAAATAGAGTCTCACTACAAGGTTCACAGGTTCCGGTCTGCTAAATTTTTCCAGTAAACACGAGTAGCATGTAGGAACTTCTATATTTTCCTTTAGTAATTTTACCGGAAAGTCCGTGTTTACAAAGATTTTATCAAACTGATGAAATGAGGAACGTAGTTATTCCAGTTCCGTTTCTTTTAGATATTGTATTTCTCCTATAATAAAGTAAATATTTTCTCAAGAAATTCTATACGCCAGAAACACGTAATGGCAAGCGCGTTATTTGAACATTACGACAGACAACTTCATCGTATTATTTTTTGAACATTTAAACTTAGACACTAATTTAGCCTATCTGCGAGGGTTGTTTCAAAAGTGTGGTTCCTACATTTTTTTCAAACGCAAGGGATTTTTTATTTGAAAAAACGAATGTATCATTGGAAACAATGATCTTTAAGCTACCGCGATTTCTTTTAGACCTGGAATCCACTTCTTCACTAGCGCCACAAGGAACTCCGCTGCCGTTCCGCTTGGAAACTTGGTAACTATATACTAGTTGTAAGTTGTAACTCTTCGTCCGTTTTGAACCGCCAACCACTTAGGTGCACCGTCAGTTCAGGAAACGCAATGTTAGGGCTGTAAGGGGGATGAATTTCCAGCCAAATGGCTCGATTCAGTTCTTCGTTTGTTGTGAGACATGACAATGTGCATTTTCGTCTAGTCCAGTCTTACGCTCTGGAGAGTTTTCTTCTACGGCGATTTTGGATTGCCCGTCTCAGCTTTTTCAGAAGCCTCGGAAATTTCAACCACATGAAAGATCGATGGCCTTTTGCTTCGTTGCTCATCGTGGATGTCTGTGCGGCCGTTACAGCTTTAGGAACCTTATCTTTGAAACAGCCCTCGTACATACGAAAACTGCATAGGAGCTGTCTAAGATCTAAACGCGGTCGTTCATACTTACATCTGACATTGAGGAAGTACCCTATGCTCGAGAACCTGCCCAACTGATGCCTAGTGACGCATTTGTACCAGCCGCTGTGCTCCCGCCTTATTTCGGAAAAGTTGAGGTGGCCTTCTGGGGTTTGCTGCACCGGGGGTTCGTCGTCGTCCTTCAGCCAGACGGGGGCAGCCCTGGGATTCGCGTCCACTTCGCATTTCAAGGACACCGGCATCCCTTCGCGAATTGGGATGCCGAAACCGGGCTCGCGACTTATCGCGAACGACGGGGGATCTGCAACAAAATAAATTCATTAACAAAGTTTTCGAGACGCGTAATTTTATGTATCTGTCCCACAAATTATCTATAATATCTAGCGCTCTGTCTTATTTCGATAGATCTCACACTTTTGATAATGAATAGTTGGTATACCTTCATCCGATATCCGAGAGATTAAGCTGATGAGTAGCCAAAAAGCGCGAAACAGCTATTCATGGTTTCATCGTTCATCACATCATATAACGCGAGGTCAGTCTGTATTTACCGTCTTCCTCGTTTCCCCTGTCGCCCTGTCTTGTTGCTTCCCATCTGTCGCACAAAACCGACCTTCTCCTACAGCAATCTGCAGTATCCTCTCGAGATTGCTGCCCTACTAGATTTCGAATTCATTAAGAGGTATATTCCCTTACGTCCATAGGGAATATTGTTCAGACGGTATTATTGTTTGTGCTTTACTTGTCCTTAACTTACTATTATTAGTTTAGAGTTTCTCCCGTTTGACACGTGATTATATTCGAGTTGGTTTAATCAAATTATCATCTTAGTTGATGTAGACCTGAGGTTAAAAGAGGTATTGAATGTCGTGAATCGACCACAATCACCACAATCTTACTAATTTTTATAATCTAATCTAAAACGTTTTTAAATTGGGTAATTAACAAATAAATGTCATTAGGTTTTTCTAAGTTAAGCCCAAACTTGTAGTCAGTAAGTAAGTAAGTAAGTTTCATTAAATTAAATATTTAAACACGCATGACAACAGCGCGTCTTTCATCACTCTTATCGAACCGGCAATCGATCGCGAACGGTAACAGTGGTTAGTTATCGTTTTGCATAGAAGGCGTGTTGTTTTGTTTTTGTTCACGTACGTCGTCGTATTTATTTACAATGCTCTCAAATCAAGAGTTCGCCGACATGTTGTTAGTTTACGGTGAAGCTCATCAGAATTCAAATCTTGCAGCTCAAATTTATCGCGATAGATTTCGTCAACGGGTACACCCAAACAGGACATTTGTGCAAATGTACCAAAGACTTCGAGATACAGGATGTGTTCAGCCCACTAATATTGGAAGACAGGTTACTGTAGAGCAGGAGGAACAAATTTTAAATATCGTGGAAATCAATACAGATATCAGCACTCGGGAATTAGACCGCCGCGTAGGACTATCGGATTCCATAATCCAAAGAAACCTACGGGAAAATTTGCTTTATCCCTACCATGTACAACGAGTGCAGGCCTTGTTACCAAAAGAGCAAACCAACATTTTTTGAGTGGTTTTTGCACAAAAACATTGGAAATCCGGATTTTTTTAAAAACACTCTAGTGACGGACGAATGTACTTTTACGCGAGACGCGATATTAAATTTCCATAGTACTCACACGTGGGCCCAAGAAAATTCTCATACCACACCAACGTTTGAAAATAAATATTTGGGCGGGTATTCTTGACGATCAGGTAATTGGCCCTTTCGAGTTACCCCCAAAGTTGTCAGGACATTAACTGTTTCACAACTAGTTTGAAACGTTGATTTTGAAGATTGTCATCGAAGTGTCTGAAAGCCCTATTTCAAGTAGTAGATGGGACGTTGGAGGCCTCTTGTTAATCTTAGCCAAAAGGTGTTGAAATAAACTTTCAAGACTCTCAACGCAGGATTTCTATTCTACTTCTGTTCTATCTGTGTACGCAATATACCCCAGAAACAAGGTTTCTGGATATGCAAGAATTTCGATACGAACACCATCTGCTAAGGTAACGGAGGGTGAAAAGGAAACGAGGGTAGGCTGGCCTTAGACGCTCGTCGGCGCTACTTTAAAAGAGGCGAGGATGACTGCGGGTGCGTACCGAGATAACAGAGTCGGATTTCGATTAGCGACCTAGCCGGTAAATCGTTTCCTATTTTGGTACTCAGCAAGTGATCATTTAGTATTGTTCTACCCTTGTTACTGTTAGTCGATATTGTATTGTTGAATTGTCGTGCTGTACTCTTGTTGGTGTGATTGTTCCTGAGTGCCTTTTTTTATCAAGGTTATCTGAATACGTCCTTTCTTAGTCCGTACATTGCGCCGCAACGCTTGCGTTGGCAGCCCGACACAGTAGACAAAATTCGACCAAAATACGATTTGTAGAGGTTTGCGCGCTTCGAAATTGACGCTTTATTGTTTCATATTTTTGGATGAAATTTTCAGTGTGCTGAAAACAAAACCCCACAATGCTATAGAGCCACTTTTTCATTTTTTTCACTAGGTTCTTTTAAAAAAAATCGCGAAGTAGAACAAAAAAAGTGCGCCCTTCAACCCATCATAAAAGTTGTGCAAAAACAAAATTTCAAAAAGTGCTCCTATCGCACCCTGGGCAATTATCTTCTCAACAAACTGTATGAAAGTCATTCAAAAATATTGAAAAATGGAGTGTCAGTTTCAAAGCAGTTGAACCACTGTAAATGACTTGAAACTCACTGCGTCGGAGCCGCTTCAAATAAAAATTCAATTTTCGTTTTCTGTTGTTACAACGTCGGTGAACTACGGATTTCAAACGTACCATAAAAAAACTTAATTTGTTTGGAGTAGAAAATATAGTTTCTGCGTCCTTCCTACATTTGCAACTGTATTCGACTGAGTCCGATTTCAAAGCCAACCATTCTAATGTCCCGTATAAACGCCAAATTCCATGAGACATTTCATGTCAGCGTCACCAGTGTCATATATGACGCAAAATTGATTGTACCTTCACGAAGAGGCGAATAATTTTGTGTAGATTTCGAAGAAAATTTTCCGTCAGCATACAAAAATGGATACCTCTTTCAGTTATAATTACCCGTTAAAACCAGCTGCAAATTTGATGAACAAACAAAAGGAGGCCGCAGAAGAGGAAAATAGAGAATACATGCGACGGTTTCAACATTATAATTATTACTATCGCAAGGCGTACAAGAATACTGGAGTGCAAGGAAATTTGGAAGATGATCAGAATCAAGCAAAGAAGGGCTCGGAAGGCTTGAAGGATAACGAAGCGGAGGTCGAATTGTGGACCACCAATTTCGAAGATGATCTCTATTCGAAAGACCAACTACCTGGACAGTATTCGTGCTCGCTCTTTAACCATCAGCTTGTGAGGGAAGAATTGTTTCAGCAGAATCTGCTGGCCAAACAAATGTTGTACAGATATTTTTATGATGGACAACGCAAGATACAGGATGACAATAAGCAAAAAGGAAAAGAAGAGGCTAAAGAAGAAGAAAATAGGCAAAAGATACAGGAAATGTGTGACAATATCGTAAGTATAAGCATAGACACTTTTGTATGTAGCTACAATTATTGGAACGTATTGTATATTTTAAGGTGAGAGACACAGTAAGCAAAATAAGCAACGAAGCAAAGGCCTGCATCCGAACAATGTCCAGCATTTTGAACATGTATATGAAAAAAGACAAAAGCGGTCAAATCTGCATCAAGCCTTCTGATATGTACGTGCCTTTAGCAAATTCGACGGAGATCGTCAAGTCTATGACCTCAGTGAAATTCATACGGCCTTACAAATACCATAAGGCGTACTTAGAAAGTCTAGCGGACGTTGATCGACTGATAAAGCAGACTTCGCATCCGAAAAATATGAAAATCTGTTTGAAAGACGAGGCTTTGCAGGTCGGATTGTCGAAAGAATTCATAAGCGCTAGATCGCCTGAAGATTCTCAGCATAGGATCTTGTTCCGAAATAACAGCGTCAATAACGACAGTAGCTGCTCTTTGGCGAACGGAGACATGAACGGTCCTAAGAAATCTGACGAGTACTTGAATTTGTATGGGGTGGAGTATTTCAAAAACAGAGCTCGCAAAGGACCCGGCTCAAACTGCTCGTTCGATAAAAGGTTCAAGTTTTTAGAAAGCCTAACGAACTTGTCTGTGAGCGAGACAGAATACAAAAAGTGGTTGAGGCGTAACAACTTCACAAAATACGTGACTTGCTCCGTAAGGGCGTCAACAGGTAGTAGCTCAGAAAAACTTACCTTAATTCCGGAAACCGTGAAAAGCGTAAAGAAGCTGACTCGGAGGTCGAAAGTGAGACGGAAGAGAAGCGACGTGTTGGATCATGCCTGTCGAACGATCATCTATGAACACACCGTCGTACTGAACTTTATAGACCTCATCAACTATATCAGGCTCAGAAGACGCAAAGGACTCACACCCTCCGACAGGGTATTGCAAGTTATTTTTTTCTTATTGTGTTATTTCGCTTTGACAGTTGTCAACAGCTGCTCTGTTATGACTGGTCTAGATCGCTGGTCGAAATAAACGTTGAAACAAAATCGAGTATTTTAACTAATTCCATCAGCATGGCTGAAATCCAAGACGAATTATTTGCAGACTTTATTAAAATAAAGGAAAAAGTTTTATTATTTTGTTTTGGAATTGATTCTAAATTTCTTCACCCCTCGACGTTGGCGACGAAGTATCTTAGTTCTGAAAATGTTTGAAAATGAGACATCGCAATCCGACAATCCGTCGGTCTTTGCAGTCATGAATACGCTACAATACTTAATCTGTTCAAGGAAACTTATAGCTGATTATATCGATAGATCTGCATCGAATTTTAATTACGCTTTCTTTGCTCAAAGTCGTTTAAAACAGATCAGTAGGAAGCACATGTGAGATACCTTTAACAAATCGTATCATTCAGTCTTATAAATTTTCAATTTTGTTTGATATTGAATATCTAAAGAAACTGAAAAAGCGAAAAAAAATTTTCGTTCCCCCCCAGGATCGAACTATACTAATCGAGCATCTAACCACTAGACCAAATAATCGGTTGTGAAATAGTTTCAGAAACATCTACACAAGCGTGCCAAACAACGGCCAACTAGATTACGCCGAGAGATCGAGAGAGCTGCCGAGCTGAAACGATTTTGTCCGATGTGAGAGGCTGGCCAGCCGTCGCGCAACGACCGACGTACACTGCAACAGCGCAATTGTGCACCAGTTGGGGACATTTTAGTAGATCTGCTACTTTCCCCAATGTTGTAATTAAGGATGCCGTGTTATTCGAAATGCAATTAAAACAAATAAAAAAATGTTCCGTTGAATAAGGGTAAACATTTCTAGTCAATGGGCTGGAGCGCTTAAAATGATAAAAGTGCTATTTTTTGCAGCCTATGCGTAGACGTGAAGAATCATACTACCTGATGGTATTGTTGTATATATAAAATATACATATACAATTAAATAAATAAGATTTTTAACTTCAAAGTTTCTAAACGCAAAATTTCTAATCTCGACGCCCGTTGTTCGAAGCGAACGAAACTGGGTACAATATGGTATTTTCAGACTTTGATTTTGACTATGGCTATCAAAAATGCTAAACTGTAATTGGCCTAAAAAAATGGAATTTTTGGGCGAACAACTCATGTAAAATACATAACATTTGTGATCTACGTGGCTGATTTATATGGTAAGGGAGTTGGGATTGCATATACAGAAGAATATTAAAAATATTTTTGCATAACAGCTACTCATACATTGTGATTACCCTAATGAAGCAATTATTATGTCTACAGAGTTTTTTTTTTAATTTTTACCATCAATAAGACAGTCTAACAAGAGATGTTATTCGGCTCTAAGCCACGATTTGTGTTGATTTGGGTATAAAAGTACTCCACCGTTTTTTCTTCCTTGCCTCGGTTCACGTGACCAGAATCCTGTCCATTGTAAAAAGTTGAGATCCTCATGAATGTGAACCTTTTCTACGGCAACGCTTCGTTCTTTTTTTCACGTGGGACGGTCGAGAAATTGAATCCGACATTCCACGTAGCGAACAAAGGATTGAAGAATAAAGTTTTTCTAAAGCCAGCCTGAGCCGACGCAGGGCAGGGTTTCGAGACGTACCCCGAACCACATTCAAATGAATGCTAATTCGAGGTTTTGTTGCCGAACGAGCACATCTTGAATATATATGACTTTTTTAAATCTGACTAATTCGATCGCTCTATGCCTGTCTAGATACACGACCTTTAGATATGAGCAAAATCCAACTGGAGTTTGCTCAAGTACAATTATTGTAAATTTCACACATTGAAACATGCTGAATTTTTCTGAATAGTCTCTCGTGACCCTATTCTTTAATAACTAAAATCAACTATGCAACTTCTGAATCGCATATTACGGTTAGCTCTTCTTTTCCAGACAAGCCATAGAAGAAGGGTTATGTTTTTCCCGCCTAGTTTACTATGCATCTGTCATATTCTACTGCCCAAACGGTCTGATCTATTTTGACATTTATGGTGTCCGTGTTGATAGTACAATTAAACATTCATTCTTATCAGGTACTGCAGTCACGTCGACCACCGTGTCAGACATTGGGAACTAACACTGAATTATTCAAATGCTGCTGTGTTGTATTTCCGAAATTTGATTTACAAAAATTAAAATCATATTGAGAACTTGTGTCAGGAATCATATCATCCTGAAAAAGCCTTAAAGGATCCTGGTGCCGAATAGGGGGTGAATAATTTGTGAAAAACTAGTCACCTGGGATCACTCGTGAACCCTAGTACTAAAATGACATTGGATTCCGAATCTATGCACTCGATTCACCTAGACAGCAAGCTTCTATAAAGATCATAGACGCGCAACAATTTCGGAGAATATAATCAGGTAAAATTATACTTTGCAAGTTCACCTTGATGTCGGCCTCTTGTCGTGTGGTGACACAATGGTGCAGATAAAAGAGCTCACAGAAAAGTTCGCATTCAAGTATCGTCTTCGTATATGTGTATTATTTTCGCATGATCCGCAGCTGCAAGCGAGTCCGTACCGAAGATGCAACGCCATCTTAATGGAAGAATAATCCAGTTGATCCTCATTGTGGCGCACAGCATAGCAATAGCGCAACAGCGCTAGTCAATTTTAAACCTGCACAGCATCAGATCCCGAATGGGAGACGCTCGGGATGGATGTAATTCGAAAAGAAAAAGACGCAAGGGAGACTCTGTGGCCGCGTGATCCTATCTCTCTATTCTCCTACAGCCGTCGCGTTGCTGGTTCATCTGAAACATGTCCGGAATTGTAAAGAGCTACGAGAGCAGTCCTTCTCTCAACTTCCATTTCTCACTTTTGTAGTACGGTCTCTCTAGCCCTACACCACTAGAGATGTTTATGGCTTGTTCAAATTCGGAGCTGGTCATGCTGAGCTACGATTATGCTTCAGGATTCAAAATACTCATGAAGAGCTATTATAAATAGTTATCAAATATTTCTACATCCTAACCGCAATGGAATGATGCTGCACAGTTAGGTCGACACGTTGCTGCAATCTGAGGATTTTTTTTATAATGAACATCTCAACTTGTGGATCTAACAGAAAAAAAAAACAACTTCTATAAATAAATCCAATGCCTGTGAGACTACACTTTGAATAAAGCACGGTAGGATTCTAATTTCTGGTTCAAACTGTGCTGTTAACCCACTTGTACTATTGATACCCGACATAATAATTGAAAATTTACTCTGTAAATGTTAGCGTCTCATATGGATGGGGCTGTAGCCAACCCATATATGAGACTCTAACATTTCCAAAGTAGATTCCAAATTATTTCTGAGAAGAAAAACATAGCTGTGACAAATTATTATAGATGGCCCTACGGTGTATCATTCCGTCTCAGATAATTTTTTCGACGTCGAAATACAGTATCAGGTTGGCTGACTTGAGCGCCACAATTAATATGAATGAAAATAAACAGAATTTTTGGTATTCGATCTTCTACACGAAACATTTTTTGTAAATAACTGGGGATAACATTCTAAAAACTAAATCAATCAGTGGCGAGTAGACCACGTCTACTATACCTTCAGGATCGACAGCTTCTAGCGGTCACAGTGATGATTGGGCTATCGACGGCGAACTGCTGGATGGAGCTGCTTACTTCGATGTAAAATTCTATATTTCCCGTACTATTTCAGCCGTCGATTTCATAATTCAGGTCACAGTAATAATTCAAAATCCAATCCGTCCGGGTGTTGGAGTCGTTGCAGAAGCAGAGCAGAGACAACATCGTCATTGGCTTTGTTCACCGCACCGTGGCGGAAATTTAATGAATTCCTCTTCGCGAAACACCAACGACGATGACGACGACCCTGCTTCTTTGTATCCTTCAGTCTGATCAGCATTCATGATTATATCGCTGACATGTTCAGAGGATAGAAATCATTTCTGCAGTTTTTATTTCATTAACACGCATTCAAACTTGGAGATGAATGAGACACGGGTACTGGGTGGTGACTTGAGAAGCAATCAAAAAATGCGAATTTTTTTCTCCGATACTGGATTTTTGTTTGGGGTACATACGTGCTGCATATCTATAACGAATGAAGAAGAAACCGACATAATATAATAAGTAAGCCGTAGTGAAATTGTAAAGCACTCACTCGGAGGGTTTACCGATGAAATAACTATACGTTCTTCGCTTTACGAAGGTTTATAACAGAAAAATGTAGGGTACAATACTTTGTATATACGTGAACAACAATGTCTGTCTCTCGTGGCACCATCATCCCCTCTTCTTCTTGCGTCACCGGTTGGTAACAAAAAAACCTGTAGATTTCCCGCCCGGTCGGTAACGTAGGGTAACCGCCTGGCCAGTAGCAAACGGTTGATGCGTTGAAGCGCCGCTCACTAGATGGCGCGAGAAGTACGGTGGGTGAGCTTAACAGAAATGTTGTCCAGAATGATCATGCTGCGAACCAATACGATGCAGCGTTCTATTCCTATTGGAAATCACTCGATTATTGGCCGACCGCCGGGCTGAGACTAATTTAAAAGACAAACAGATAACTTGCAACCACAGACTAAGTATAACAGAGCTCTATCGACTACGCTCTCAGCCGAACTGTACACACTATTCAGTGACGTACTTTGTACTCCAACCGCTAACAGAATAAAATAGGATTTATTGAGCTTCAGGCTATTTGATACAGTAACAAATATCATTTACAAAAGTTCTGATAAATTCACATTTCACAAAACCAAAATAATCTTCTTCCAAAGACACTATCATCCATGAATGCAAAAGTTTGTAATCGCCAGCCTCGTACAAAGATAGTATTGTATGTGGGACAAGGATAAGTGATAAGGAAATAGTGGAAATGAGGTATTTGTGCTTATAGTGGATACCAAATAAAACCCGATGCATGTCATCGATCTGGAGCTGTGCGCTGTTGCCAGAATTGATATGAGCTCTTTACACCGACTGTTAAGTTGTTTTGGCATTTTGGATACTTTATACCACTTCACAGTAACTTTTGTTCTGAGAAGAACAACTTTTAATTGGCAAGGCAACGATTCAAAGCTCAAATAGCGCAAAACTCACAAACTAAACAATAAAGAACTAATAGTACGACAAAAGGACAATGGCAACTGATGTCAACAAATGAGAAGTGGCAACCTCACATTTCTCTGCACGGCACTACCAACCGAATCGAGACGGGGAAATTTAAACTTCAAGTAGAAATGTCACATTGAATGTAGTCAACTGTTGGTAACCATGATTTTTATGAATGACATCACCTATGACGTGCATCGGATTTTATTTGGTATCCACTATATTTGAGTAAGAAATGTAATAATATCTGCTGTGCCTAGCTCACTGCCCTGTCTACATTCGCAATAGGCTGTTCAAGTTATACGGTAAGTAGACTATTTTCTTTAGCCTGTACTTGTCAAAAACGTCACGCATGTCCATCAGAGAAAGGTCAAAATGATTTGACAGCAAAATTTCGGTGTGCCTTCCTTCTAATAGCTACGATGTACGTTGAAAGATGTCTTTTAGGCCGAAGATAAGCAAACCTGGCCCGAGATGCTGTTGTGATCGTTGCAAGCCGAGCCTGCTGAAAAGAATCAAACCTAATCCGTGCTGCGTCAAGTTCTTCACCATCTACTGTTGGCTGTTCATGAGCATCGCGCTCGTACTCTATTTCGTGTTCGGTTTGATCGACACGTGCGCCGACGCACCGTTCATCGTTTGAACACCAACACAGGTACAGCTGATATGATTAGAAGATGCTTTTAAATTTTCACGAAAAGCGAAACATAAAGTCATGGAAAAGAATAGAGGCTTTGAGATGCTAAAAAAAACGCGTGAGGCTACTAAACTAAATTTATGATAACATTGCATGTCACTTTAATGATAACACAAGCCCAACATGTATGTAAACAAGCAATTTGGACGCTAATCATTGAATTCTATGTATGTATTTTCAAAAAAGCATGCCTCAAATATTGATTTCGTATTGTGGTCGTCGACAAACTTCACAGACAATGACATTTGAATATAGATATAGACGTGACTGTTGTAATAGATTGTATTCTTCTAGTTGGTGAGCAGTTATGGATTGGGGAGATCATCGTGGAGGTTGTTTTTTGTACTGCTCCCTTCAAAAACCCTGCGAAGGTGGCTATTGCAAAAGTCGTTCGCCTTGTAATACGACCGGCGGTGCCCCGTGCGCGTCGCCTTCTATAATTGGTGCCATACACACTTGCAGAGACGTCTTCGACAAACTTTGTATGGCTGCAGATAAGTCGTGTTCGTGCTGTCGCGCCAAACCGCGGTAGGTACTGTTAAAGAAGATCTTGGGACTATTTTCTTAATAAAATAAATATGGTAAAATGTGTCCGACGCTTTCTAGTGCAACCTTCCATTTTCCACTCTCCTGTACTCCTGTACAATCCCTCATTCTTCAATTTCCTTCAAGTTTGAGCAATTTTAGTTTTTTTGAGTTTTGAAAAATATAAAGATTTTTTGTTAGAAAATTACATCAAAATCCGAGCTGTACTTCCCAAGTCATAGGCGCCTATAGGAACAGCGGACAGACAGACAGCTGGAAATGAATCACACTGTTTTCCGCGCGAGTAGGCGAACTATACAGGGTGTTCCATAATAATTGCGACAAAATGATAGGGGTTGTAGAGGGCATCAAAATGAACAATTTTGCCTTATAAACCCCTATTCGGAAATATGCCGTTTGGGATGCAGCAAAAAAAAAAGATCAGTTTCTTGAAACAGCTTACCTACAGTAATTGCTCAAAGTGTCCTCCACCTTGCTCAATACACAGCTGTGCACGATTGTTCAATGATCGGCGAACTCTGTGGCATACCCCCGGTTTGTCCTGAACATGTGCGGACGTGGCCATCACTCTTCCCAGTAGCTCTTGTTGGTTAGGAACAGTAGTTTCGTACACTAAAGCTTTCAGATGGCCCCAGAGAAAATAATCCAGTGGGGTCAGGTCGGGTGACCGCGCAGGCCAAGGCACAGGGCCACCTCGGCCGATCCACCTATTTGTCGTCCAAATACTGCCGCACTTGTAAAGAAAAGTGGGCTGGAGCGCCATCGTGTTGAAACCACGCGTTGGCTCTTATGTTCAGTGGCACATTTTCTAATAGTTCCGGTAGCACATGCTGTAAGAATCGACCATAAGCATGCCCATCCAAACGTAGTGGAAGCAAATATGGCCTGATGATATGCTCGTCCACAATGCCGCACCAGATGTTAATTGAAAACTATGTTGGTCTCTATGGATGGCTATGGCATGAGGGTTTTCTTCATCCCAAATGTGACTGTTACGGCTATTAAAATAACCTTCCTTTGTGAAACAGGACTCGTCAGTGAACAAAACGTAGCGACCAAAGTTTGGTTGCCTCAACTCCTGCTGCAGCCACCAACGACAAAAACGTCGACGCGGCAGATAGTTTTCTGGACCCATGGCTTGGACTTTTAAAAGGTGGTATGGGTGTAGTTGCTGGTCATGGAGAACCCGCCAAGCAGTAGTTTGAGACGCTCCCATTTCATGTGCAATAGCACGCACGCTTGTACGCGGATTGGCCTCTAGTTTGACGCACCACTCAGATAAATTAAATGAATCGGTGTGGAGAATTTACGATAACAAAAATGTAAACACAGCAGGCTTTTTTTTACAAATCGGCGAGACCATGAAATGTGCTAGACGAACATTTTGCAGCTGTTGAATTTTTTGTTTCTCTTAAGGTAAAATTAGCGGTAGTGCTCAAACGGCATATTTACGATCAGGGGTTTATAAGGCAAAATTGCATATTTTTATGCCCTCTACAACCCCTATCATTTTGTCGCAATAATTATGGAACACCCTGTATATTTGCAAAATTTTCTTGAGGACCACTATCCTATCATCAATCTGCCCCACTTTCTGAAGCTAACTATAGTATTCGTCACGATTTTAGAGAATGCTGTTGTTGTTGCCGCGAAATGCAGCAAACACGGTGTCATGGCCAAAGAAGCGTTTGTATATGCGACGAGGTTTCAGAAGATGAAAAAAGCGTAAGGAAAAATAAATCAAAAAGTGCTGCTACATCGGTGATGAGCGTCAGGCAAAACGAAAGAGATGGAAAGCACGTACAGAAGAACAGACCAAAAAGTACCGCCACATCGGCGATGAGCCTCATGCAAAACGAAATTGTTTCTGATTTGGCTCAAATAGCTGTGGAATTTGTAAAGCAACAGGAGCATCCTACTTCAGAAACAGAATCTCATTATTATAATGAAGGTCTCAATAATGCATGTATTGCTAACACGGAAGCATATGTTAACGAAAACGGGGGTTTTGGTGAGTGGTAACTTTAAGATCACTGTCACAACGTCGCATTCACGTGGCTACAAGGGACGTCTTTTAAGTTTTGCATATAGAAACATAGTAGTGTTTCGAAAAAGATGGTCGCGACATTTGTGTCAAAAGCGGGTCATATTGCAACAATTCCTCTTAATGAGCAAAGAACTGTTACTGCGGATTGGAATACCACCATTTGTTTGCCAAAAGTTATCACTGAGCTTGGAAAAATCAACCCCGAAAGAAGAATCATCCTCCACCAAGACAATGCAAGCTCGCACACGGCCCAAAAAACAAGGCAGTATTTAACGAAAGAAAACGTGGAATTATTGGACCATCCTCCATATAGTCCCGATCAAAGTCCTAACGATTTCTTTACTTTCCCGAAAATAAAAACAGACTGCGTGGTCAAAGATTTCAGTCACCAGAAGAAGCAGTTGACGCATTCAAAAATGCCGTTTTGGATCTGCCAGCAAACGAGTGGAATAAGTGCTCCGAAAATTGGTTCGAGCGCATGCAGATGTGTATTAATCTTCGTGGAGAATACTTCGAAAAACAATAAAGTCATTTAAAACTACCTACCGTGTTGTTTTATTTCCCTATGCAAAACTTAAAAGACATCCCTCGTACTAGGTTTGACTACGTTCTTTAAATGTTCTTACTCTGTTAGTCATTTTATAGAATTCGTTCCATTTTTTGTAGAAGCTGAGCTTGCACCGGAAACGGATCCTATATCCGCTGAGCCTGAGCAATCCAAAGCGATCATTCGACGAGCACCTTACAAGCGCAAAAAGGGAAAAACCAAATGCCGCTGCAAAAACAAAAAGAAAGCTGGCGCCGAAAAACTCACATCTCTGTGTCAGTGTCCACCAGTCGTCATCTTCGACAGTCCGCCGGCGAAAAGGAACTTTTTCGACTTTCTAAAATGCCTGATGCCACGCTCGAAACTATCGGCCGGTCCTTCCGAAAACGACACTCCGACTCACGGCAAGAAAAAATTGCTGTGCGCTTGCGGTGAAGAGACGCAACCATTTTTTGGATACGCGGAACTCAAAAAGAAACGGAACGATGATACAAACGCGACAAATAACTCGTCGAAAATAGATCGCAAATCGACACGAGGGTCAACGTCAGCAGATGAAGGACAAGTTTCTTCTAAAAAACTTGATGCATATTCGGAAAAGAATCAACCGCTAGTGTCGACTGAGTGTGACTGTGCCGAAGAAAAGTTACAAAAAAATTGTTCGCTTAAAAAGAAAGACAACGGTGATAAAAAGGCGAAAACTCGTCCATCGGAAAGAAATAGCGAGTCGACAAGAGGGCCAACATCACCAGATGAAGGACAACGTTCGTCTAGAAGACTTAGTACGCGTTCGGAAAAAAATCAACAGCTAGTGTTGACTGAGTGTGGTTGTGCCGAAGAGGATTTTCAAAAAAATCATTCGCAGTTTTATAGAAGATTGAGTAGTGAGGGAAAATCAATAAAATCGAGTGAAAATAAAAACCAGTCGGATGCGTTGACCGTAAAGGAGATAGCAAGTTCACATATTAATTCGTCTAGAAAAAGCAGTCTTCAAAGCTCAGTCAGAGATGGAGAACGTCGCTTTCCGTTGAAATGGCACCACGGTAGGTCTCTCAACGACGCAATTTTTGAAACACAAAATACAAAGTCATCAAGCATCAATTTGTATCAAACGAATCATCTCATATTCATTGGATTCAGAGTCCTAACATCCTCTTTTGAGTAAGTCATCATTCGTCACTTTTTTTCCAAAGATGAAAAATGTATGGGGACGCAGGAAAGTAAACCCATATTAAAACAAGAAAGATTGATATTCAAATCAAGTTGGGTACTTTATTTTGAAGGTTCATTTATACCATTTATGTATGAAAAATAATATCGCTCAAATGTTTACCACGACTGGATTTACAGACGTCCACGCGATAGTCGAAATTTTCAATGACATTTTGCAACATGGTCGGTTCTATGGCATTTATCTCGGCAATGATGTTGTTTTTGAGTTCTTGGAGGGTGGCTGGTTTGTTGACGTAGACTTTGCTTTTCAAATATCCCCATAAAAAGAAGTCCAAGGGAGTCAAATCGCACGATCTTGGTGGCCATGGCACATTTCCTCTGCGCGAAATCACGCGATCATCGAAGAAGGACTGCAATCGATGGATATTGACGTTGGTTGTATGGCATGTTGCACCGTCTTGTTGGAAATAAACATCGTCCATATCCATTCCTTCAAGTTGCGGCAAAAAATAGTCCTCTATCATCACGTGATATCGCTCAGAATTGACGGTAACGGCGTCCCCGGCCGCATTTTCGAAAAAGTAATGTCCGATGATGCCTTTTGACCACTCAGTCACTTTTTGAGGATGCATCGGCTGCTCTTGATACTCACGGGGATTTTCGTTCGCCCAGATGCGGCAGTTTTGCTTGTTTACCGTCCCATTTAAAGTGAAATGCGCTTCGTCGCTGAACATGATTTTTGATGAAAAATTGGCATCAATTTGGCGGTGTTCAAGGAGCCAATCTGAGAACTTTCGGCGCGAAAAATGGTCGGCCCGATGCAGCTTTTGTACCAATTGGATCTTGTAGGCGTGTACATTCAAATCCCTGTCGAGAATGCGGAGCAAACTGGTTCTCGAAATGCCCAATTCTTGGGATCGACGCGTTGTTGATTGTTTCGGATCGTCTCTCACACCCTCCTTCACAACAACAATATTTTGCGGTGTGCGAACGCTCCTTGGCCGGCCAGAGCCTGGCAGATTTGCCACAGAACCTGTTGCCTCGAATTTCCGCACCAGACGACCGATGGTTGTTTCGTTTGGGCGGTTGTTGCGACTGAAATGTTCACGAAGCGCGCGAAACGTGTTTTTTATTTTTCCACCATTTTTGTAGTGCTCTTGAATAACTTTAATGCGGTCTTCAATCGAATACGACTCCATAGCGATCAATGGTAAACATTCAAGTAACAAAATGACATGTCGGTGACAGAAAACAAAGATGGTGTCTATGTCAAATTAACGTTTACTTTCCTGCGTCCCTATTGGACCATCAGGCGTGTGAAGCAATATCGAAAAAAATCGTTCAAACCTCGTTTTTTGATGTTACAGAGCATCACTTTTTAGAATACTTTTTAGGGGTACAAAATTGAGGGGTGGGAGGATGTAAAGAAGTATTAACAGGCTTATAACCACAAATAAATCACATACAGGTATCATAGATTGCCTCTTGAAGTAGGGTCTAGCTTAAATATGCTGGGAAGTGTACAATCTACTTAACGACATTTTGTTCGCTCTTTATGATACTGTTTTCAGGAAAAGAACATGGAAAGGATACGGAAAGAACGAATATTCCACAAAAACGCGAACATAATCGAACAAGTTTCAAAAATGGCGGTTCATCGCGAAACTACCAAGCTGCCATCCCTGAGGCTCCCCTGAACGATGCTTCAACCTCTATGAAACCACCTTCAATGGATGATTATTTTCGTTCATTCGAATCGAGTAAAAACAATTTGATAGAACACAGAGCAATGGCAGGTACAAATACAGGGTGAGTTGTATCACGCTTGCCAAAAATCTAGTAGGAGTACAGGAGACAAAGTTGGGTACTTTGAATTTTGACTTTTTTTTGACAACTTTTGTCAAAAACGAGAAAACTCACCTTGTATTTGGAGCAAAGGTACAACTACTGTGTTGCCCTGAAAAACCTCTACATTTATACAGGGTGTCCCAACATTCCATGGAAGACGACTGGGAGACTCTGTATTTCCACTCAGTATTATCCATTCTACAAATTATGGTTTTTCAGCGAAAAAAACGTAAAAGTGACATCAGCGATTGTCGAACATTTTATCGCCAGCAAGATATATCCGATGTCCGGAGCGACATACATACACTACTTCCACGATGAATTTCGTCGTTACGAATTGCTGTTCAGAGAACGCAGGCTGCATGTAGGCCAAAAGACATGCCCGACTGTTCAAACTTGGATGTTCAGAACGTACGAGAATAATACGAAAAACATAACGTCTAACAATGAAGACACGTATGCTCAGTCGTATGACCTGCACGCTATATTTAAACTTTTTGAGGAATATAAAAAAGAGCAGAGCGAGTATAGAGAAAAAGAGCGTGCAGTTTTGTGCAGAGGACTTCGAAAAGAATTATCGGCATTGCTATATGACCAGCGAAGAAAACATGATCTCGGGGGACGATTTCTGATCATAAGTTTTTCTTACGTAGGTGTTCATATTTGTGTTATTGTATACATCATTATTGTAATATATTCTTTATTATACATATCCGTAATATTTTAAACTTGCATTTCATTACATCTGGAACCTTCTTAGTATCTCGAAATCGAACAACATCCTCAAAACATATAATAATGGGATCAGCTAGTAATCTTAAATTGAAACCAAATCCTACAGGTAATCTAAAAAGGTCCAAAGACATATATACGAGTAATGTCTCTTTTTAAGACGCTTTTATTAGCTTGACTTGTATATACAGGGTGGCGCATCGAAAACGGAACACGCATTTACTGGCAGCTCATTTTTTTTTTTTGGAAAAACGCTCAGAACCATCGGTTTTGTTTTCGAGGGGGACACAAGTTTGGCAAAAAATCACGTTAACACGTGGTGACACCACCCCCAAAATCTTAAATGGAAAGGGGGTCGAGTGATACCTTATTTTAAAGGTCTCTCAATTCCCTTCATAATGATGTAAAATACATGAGCTTCAGTTCAGTAGTTTTGAAGATTTATTGATTTACAGCTTAAAGTAGACTTTAATAGATATACTAAGTGACATATAAATCCGAACATCCAGTTTAAATGGTTTTATTTTAATAAAATTTTGTGTAAGTACTTAATGAAGCATAATAAGTAAATGATAAATATTTCAAAATGATTGCACTGCTTTAAAGCCTTTTGACCTTTAATAATGTGTGGATGCACCCTGATGTGCTACGCATTCTCCAACGCGCCTAGGCATGCTTCTGATCAGGTGGTCAATGTCCTCCTGTGGTATCTCATTCCAGGCAACCACCAACTCCTCTCGAAGTGCTTCTAGAATCTGAGGAGGACGTTGCAAATTGAGCAATCTCCTACCCATCATATCCCACACGTGCTCAATTTGGGATAAGTCGGGAGATCTTGGTGGCCATGGTAACAATGTGACATCATTATGTAGAAAGAAGTCTATCGTGACTCTTGCAACACGTGGTTATCTTGTTGGAAAGTTGGATCTGCCAGGGTGTCAAGATAGGGTAAAAGATGGGGTTCTAGAACTTCGTGGATATAACGCTGCGCGTTCATGTTACCTCTGATGAAGATTAAAGGTGACCTGGAACCATAAGCTATAGCACCCCAAACCATAACTCCAACAGTGTGATGAACATGTCTTTCAACAAAAAACTGTGGATTCCTCCTTTTACCACGTCGCCTTCTAACCCTGGCACGACTATCGTGCATGCCTAAACAAAATCGAGACTCGTCACTAAAGACAATACTGTTCCATTCCTGATCCCAGAGTGACCGTTGTTTGCACCACTCAAGGCGATTACGTCGGTGTTCTCGAGTTAAAGGGAGGACCCAGTGCGGCCGGTATGAAAACAAGCCAAAACTTCTCATTCGTCGGTAAACACTTCGCATGCCAATAGGTCTTCCGTGTTCTGCAAACCATTCATTTGCAATGGACCTGGTAGTGGAGAAACGGTCCCTTAAGGCCCATAATCTTAGGCGGCGATCTTCACGGTCTGTTGTTCTACGGCGGCGTCCAGTGCCCCTTGCTCTTTGCGTACGGCCTTCTCGAAGCCATGCCTGACAACACCTAACCACAGTGTCTACACTTCTTTACACTCTAACTGCAATTGCCCGAAAAGAAAGTCCAGCTTCCCGAAGTCCCACTATACGGCCCCTGTCAAACTCACTAAGTTGACGAAATCGTACAGGTCTCCGTACTCTAGGCATCGTAACCGCTTGTAAAGGATGTCAAGAATCAAAATCCGCCAACGTTGATTCTTTACTGCGGCTGAAATATTCATTTTTAGAGCGTTAGTGAATTAAAAAAAAACAGGATAAAAACCGGAATGTCCAACTGATAAGGCTGAAAATTTTTTCATTTGTTATTTACAGTAAGATAAATACATTCACCAACTTTTATTAAAATAAAACCATTTAAACTGGGTGTTCGGATTTATATGTCACTTAGTATAGCAACTAAAAAAATAATTCCAGCGTTTAATATTAAGCACCCCGCTCTTTTTTGCTATATAAATTTTTTGTTAATATCTTAATTTTTTTATTGATCTGATTCCAAATTAATTGGCCGTACTTGATTGTTGAACTTTTTGTTGCAGCAACACACCTATACTTTTATTTTTTTCTTTTCCACTGTTTTTTTATTTTTCTTAACTATGCCCAAATGTCACCACGACTCATCCTTTTGAAGGTATCATTGAAACGCATCGAAATGTTTCACTTTGTCCCTTCTCAGTGCATATTCTAAAAAGCAAAAGCCGTTACCACCGTACGACCCCGACTATAACAATAACGAGGTGACAAATGCGAAATCTGCTCTGGTGGAAAGATGATAGGTTGGGGTAGAGGCACCCTCCTTCTTCAATATTTGATCTCGCCGGAACGGTCTCCCGGGAGACCAGAAACGAAATGGACTTTTTACTGCGCTGCTGGATATTGTTCGAGGTGTCTTGCTGCTTTCCAAGCCATTTGGAATGACCCAGAAACAGTTTCTTGCTATGATCATCATTATCGATCTCGTTCAGGTTGTTTGGATTTTTTTGAAGATGTACATGTTAAAAAATGTGCAGTATACGATAATCAAACGGTCTAGTTAAAAGTAGCTTTGAAATAAACTAGTCTCAAAATGTTTTTCAAGGTTTTAATATACAGGGTGACTTCGAAGTTGAGTCATTTATTTTAACAGTGAGTAGATCTGATCAAAAGAAATGTTTTTTTCCTTTACCATTTTTCTGGTAAAATTAAAGTAACAAAGTTATAGCCCTTTGGAAGTTTGAGTACCGCCCTGTCTCAATAATAATATTATGTGCTCGTGTATGGCAACAACGGATATAATCCGCCTTATCGGTTCATCGCATCGGAAACAAAAAAGCGAAAGAAGTTGGAACGATGTTTTTACAATTATTTTATTCAGTTGTATACAGTCAGTGTCAGTCGGTAACGCGTGAGTGAATAGTGGTGTCTGTTGCGTGGCTCAAACGAAATCAAAAATGGCACATGTTTACGAAAATGCTGAACTTGTGGACATGATTCTTATTTACGCGGCATCACGGAATTATGCGGATCGGTTTCCCAATCGAGTGCAACGAACCCCTCGTGCCTTTGTTAATGTAGTACATAGGGCTCGTGAATCAGGTGACTTATGACCTCACAGGGGAGGGCATGCCGGTGCTCCAAGACCGCACGATCAAATACAGGTCCGCACTGAAATACTTTTATTGAATTTATCTGTATATTAATGATTCAACTTCAAAGTCACCATGTAGATGCCTGCAACCTCAAAAATTATGATTTTTGACTGGGTGTTTTGGCATTGAATGTACCCATTTTTAGTGTTTCCTGAAGATTGAAAATCGCGTGCGAACAACTTTAGAGAAAAGACACATCTCTTTTTCGTTCAGAATGATCCAAAAGACCTGAGAGAGGTAGTCACAACGTTTTCGGATATTTTGGATCATTGTGAACGAAAAAACTCTGCGGTAACCTGTATCTAAAGTCGACTATTTTCGAGTTTTAAGCGACGTAATGCCAAAAAAAAAAAACGTAAAAATGGGTATATTCAATTGAGAAACTCGGTTAAAAATCATTATTTTTATAGTAAATCAATTAAAGCTAAAACCATGCTCTATAAGACGACGAATAGTATTTTAAGATGAGTTTATTTTAAATCGATGTTTAGCCTTGCTTGTTAAGCCAAAATCGACGAACTTTGGATTTTCGCAGACAACCAGGAAAAAAACGTCTAAATATTGACGGTTTTTCGGGCAAAATCTATCTTTCAAGCAATCACGTGACCACGTTTGTGTTTGCGTCAGCCCGTGTCCTAATTCAGCGTTAACTCAGTTGTAAGTTCTGCTTTGAAGATGACAGGGCGAGTCAGGCCGTTCTCGTCGAATGGCTGCTTACGGAATGACTAATCAAGGTGTGCTTTGATGATGTTTCCGCATACACTTGAAGGAGCACGAGCCCAGCATGCCTCGCTTACTTGCCTTCCTCTATGCACACAACTAAATATGTTCCGGTACAATTCAATAAGTCCCTCTCCGTGCACATTGCATTCTATTAGGAGGCACTGTGTTATCGTTATGAGCTTTAGGAGCTGACTTGCTACCAAACCAAAAGCGATTATACGTACACGACATACTTTCAGTTATCACATGTCAACGTGTTATTTTAAACGAGGCACTATGCACACGTACAGAGTCACCCCACTTATGGATATTTTCACGTTCGTTGGATGTCCCTTAACATACAGGGTGGCGCATAATAAAATTCGCTTTTAAAAACAATACTCGTAATGTAAATGAAAGCAGGTTATACCTGGAAGAGTTTGCTAATTTTACACGTCCATTTTTTTCATCTTGATATTTTTTATTGAAACTTAGAAATTATGTATAAAAATAATATCAGACAAATTGATCGTTGATAGATGACACGAGGGTTCTCTAACGCCCAAATACGACAATTCTGCTCATTAACAAATCCGTTCATATCAAAGTGGGTTTCATCGCTTATTATCAGTTGTCGGTAAAAATCGTTGTTTTGGGTATTAAGCTGCAATATTGCATGACTGTATTGTCGGCGACTTTCATGGTCACTAGACTGTAGTTCTTGGGTTAACTGAATTCTGTATGGCCGCAAATGCAAGACTTTTTTAAAATAGTGCGACGAATACCCAGATCTCGAGAACGATGTCTGGTAGACGTCTCAGGGCGCTCCACCACACTTTCACGAACTCTCTCGATATTTTCCGGAGTACGAACGGACCTTGGCAAGTCTTTAACTTCACCTGTTTGTTCAAATTTCCGCATCAACTGACGAATGATGTTGACACTGGGCACGTTATTTCGACCGAAATCTTATCCTGGCTTCCGAATCATTGCAACAATCGACTCGACGTTTAAGTAAAAAGTTTTAACGATACGGACGCGTCGTGGAATGAAATAAGACTTTTATACAATATTGGCCACCCTGTATAAAAGGACATTGGCAATTTATGTTTTGAAAATGATATCATCAAGATGGCCTCCAGATCTCCAACCTGATTGTCGGGATTGCCGCATTTTGATGTCTAACGATGAAACCGAGCATTTAACAATCTAAAATTTTTACAATAGCAATTTTATAAAAATCACTAGATGCACCTGCAGAAAGCGAAACCTTCTATCGTCTAGAAATCCGATTTCCGGTAAGAAATCGTGGATGCTGCGCAACTATTCGACACTGCATGCGAACTTCGCGGCAGGAATTTATGCCCTTCGGCGAGATGCATGCTTCCAGGTAAGGTTCGCTTCTTTGTGCCGGGGAACCGAAGCGAACTTCTTTCGGTGGCGGGGTGCAAAGGAAACTCCGCGCTAACTCGGTCACGTACCGGACACAAATGCCGCCTGCAGCCCGTTTATTCAAATTTATCTCGGCAGCTGCTCTCCGGTACGCTACTTCTTTACTTTTCTTGCTGGTCGAATGTCGCAAAGTTGGCGCAGGTGAATAATATGTGGAACGGAAGTTGATCGCATCTCAGATACTACTTTACATGTTTTTGCGAGAGAAAAATACGATTCAGTCTGGTTGCATCACAAAATAATGTTAATCTTGCTAAACAAGTAACTATTGTCCTTTTTCACAACAGGAACGTCCATATTGACTTCTTTAAAATTACCATTTCAAATGTTGGTTACCGTGGATCATTCTGAGATTCCAATTTTTTGATGGCGCGTGACATTCATCTTCAAAGTGATCTTTTTCAGTACTGAAGAAGTTTTTAGGCAGTAACCTTTCGCAAATGAACTTCGTGTTGTAATGCCAAGAGAATATGTATTTATGTCAGTTTAACATCACAAACTAGTACAATCTGAACAGAAAGTCGTAAAATTTGAGTGAGAAACAGAAGCCTCGCATTCCCGATTGCAATTAGGATACGCCTTGGACACGTGTAATAAAACGGAATAGTTTGGCGGTGTCCGCCGAAATTCCGCTAGCAAGCATATAATCAGAAGTGGGATATAACTACCGTACTCTCGGACGACGGCTGCTGAATGACAAATGCTGCAAAGTTTTCCACTAGTTGGCTGCCTGGCTGACTAGACCGAAAGCTATTATTCTGATTGACCAGACGACAAAGTGGGGAGAGGAAGGGAGAAGCAATGTTCACGATTGCGAGGAGTAACACATTCAGCTTCAGCAACGGCGGCAGTTTCAACAAACACGTACCGACAAAGTTCCGACGTCAACGTGGAATGTTGCAATCTATCGGAATGAAGTAGCTTCATGCTACTCGTACGGCAGACCCCCAGAAGGCGAAGGACTTGCAAATTCTATCAACTTAATATCATCGATAATACAAATTTGATATATGATGTGATTGTTATCAGCAGGGGCCCGAGCTTCTCCCATTACAATACGAAATACCGAATGAGAGCGAAAAACAGTTTTTTTTAGTCTAAGACTCAATTGTTTCCACTCCGTTCAAGAGAAAGTTTGTTATAAACAGCGTTTTTGAAATCTTTCTTGTTTTTCTTAATGACTTACATTCTACGTTGAGCAATACGGACGCGTTGAGCGGCCTCTGCAACGCGACGTGCCTCACGTAGCACGTGAGCGTCGCATTGTGATGCGCCCTCAGTACCCTTCCTAACCTAGCGTCGTTTCTAGCTCCAACTTTCTGCTCCACCACCGTCTCCGTGAGGTTGAGGACGTCCAGCGGCAGTTCTGGAGCGTCGAGCAGCGCCAACGAACCCAGACGCAGCTCCCAGGAGAGCTCGGGCTTAGGGTTACCCTCATCTACTACGCAGGATACCGTCAGGTCGGCGTTCTCTTTCACTGGAATGAAAGGATTGCCGGGATCCAGGATGCGGTTGTCGATCATCAGGTAAGCCTTCTTTGGCGGGTCTGCAAAAGAAAAAACATGCTAAATGAAACGACTATTGGTTGATGATGATACACATAAAATTAAAAAAGGAAAAAACGCTACCTATTCCGGTAGACTGTACCATGTTGCGATAGTCTATTCAGTTGGCAGCACTGTCAGCATGCGAAATGAAAAGTGGACGTTGCTTATTCCGCAACTAGAAAATAGGAAAGTAGGAAAACTTTTCAAAATAATTTGACAATTATTTATTACAGCCCTTTGGTTTGGTTTGTCATTCGGTTTGTGAATCCGTGATCGTTTTTGTGACATACGTAAATGAACTGATTTATTCTGGACGATCTGGTGATTTTTCTTTTGGCACAATTTGGAATCGACTTGATGCTAATAGAGCAATTGAATGATTACAAAATCATTATTCCAAGATATGTGGATTGTCCATTAAGACTTTCAAACATCCACCTAATCGGGAGCCTCTTAAACTTTGAATATTTTGAATAACTTTGTGTTCAATTCTGCTTCCATTCCTGATCCCAGAGTGACCGTTGTCTGCACCACTCAAGGCGATTACGTCGGTGTTCTCGAGTTAAAGGGAGGACCCAGTGTGGCCGGTATGAAAACAAGCCAAAACTTCTCATTCGTCGATAAACACTTCGCATGCCAATAGGTCTTCCGTGTTCTGCAAACCATTCATTTGGAATGGACCTGGTAGTGGAGAAACGGTCCCTTAAGGCCAATAATCTTAGGCGGCGATCTTCACGGTCTGTTGTTCTACGGCGGCGTCCAGTGCCCCTTGCTCTTTGCGTACGGCCTTCTCGAAGCCATGCCTGACAACACCTAACCACAGTGTCTACACTTCTTTGCACTCTAACTGCAATTGCCCGAAAAGAAAGTCCAGCTTCCCGAAGTCCCACTATACGGCCCCTATCAAGCTCACTAAGTTGACGAAATCGTACAGGTCTGCGTACTCTAGGCATCGTAACCGATCGTAAAGGATGTCAAGAACCAAAATCCGCCAACGTTGATTCTTTACTGCGGCTGAAATATTCATTTTTAGAGCGTTAGTGAATTAAAAAAAAGCAGTATAAAAACCGGAATGTCCAACTGATAAGACTGAACATTTTTTCACTTATTATTTATAGTAAGATAAATACATTCACCAACTTTTATTAAAATAAAATCATTTAAACTGGGTGTTCGGATTTATATGTCACTTAGTATATTTCAGATCCAATTGTTTCGTCTAGTGGTTAGATGGTCGATTAGTATTCCGCCGACTCGGGTTCGATCCTAGGAAACGGAGAGAACTTTTTTTTCATTTTTTTTAGTAACTTTAGATACAAACAAAATTGAGAATTTATAAAAACCGGTGATACAATTTCAGAATACGCTTCCTATTTATCTCTATTTTAAATGATTTTGAGCAAAGAAATCGCAATATTGTAATCAAAATTTGATTCAGTTCTATGCATATGATAAAAGCTAGCTGTAAATTTTCCGAACATGATGAGGGGCTTGTGAATTGTCGAAAAAAGTTTCAGCAGTTTTTATTTTTATTATTACTATTTAGATTGTTTGTTTCCGGTCATCTGTCTAAAAATGACTAAGCCTATATCGCATCGATGATTGGTAAAAAGCATCAGACGACGATGTATGCGGTTGGTTGTGACTTCAGCCAGAACTATCATGTATTTTGTTTTATGTACGTACGTTTAAATGTTGGAAGTATACAAAAATTTGGATTATAATGAAAACTTCGTCTGTATTTCCATGGCTATAAGGTTACGTAGAGCAGTGTGCCAAGTCACGTTCTGAACAGTAAAATATTAATATGGCGGGAACTCTTTCGAAACACGTATTCCATAAGAAGTTGAATAATAAGAAGACTATTTGTTAGTTGTAGCAGTGCATCGCAACGTGTGGGGCAGGGAAAGGGGGCAAGGGAGAGGCGTGATTTACTCCCTTATTTAGAGGATACACGGATGGAGCGTGTGCATGTTCGGATTTGCCCGGAAAGTTTCATATTAGTTCTTCATGCGGTTGTAAATAGAGCAGCGAGTCGACTGCCTAGCTTGTTTGGAAGGCATACCGCATCGGCGTGTACACTATATTTGTTACGACTCGTCTCTCATATTTGTCTCTTTGTGCGACAGACAGATTACGTTAACGGGATATGTTCGAATATTATATGATACACGAAACGCGAATTACGCAAGGTAAATAAGGAAGCTATGACGAGTTTCAGCTATATTTGATGAGAATTTAGTAATCATCGTTGCTTAAGCTTCAGTTTGCTACAAGTGCTATACGAGTTGTTTTGATGAGATGTGTATGTGAATGTAGTTATTTTTGTATACGGTTTACTACAATGGATATACAGGGCAATTCAGAAAACCATGTCGATATACCTGACGGTTAAAGTAGATCAAAAATAACACATATAAGTATAGGTCCTAAAATGCTCCCTTATCGAAAGACACGATGTTACATCAGTGGTATCGAAATTCGTAAATCTTCAAAAAAATAAAAATGTGCTTTCCAACTCCAAGAAAAGATGGGATTTGATCTGGTCCAACTTTGTAGTAAACTCTCGAAATCATTATGCTCTTATTCACCCGACCCTTCCCAATATAATACCCCACATAGATCTCTTCTATATGAATAGAAGATTCTCCACAATTATAACGAGATTGAGATTGGGTCATGGTTGCTTTCCTGCTCATCTTCATCGAATAGGTGTAATAGAGTCCCCGGATTGTGCTTGTGATGAATCTTCTATAGCCGATCTAAATCACATATTTTTTGCTTGTAATCTTTACACCAATATCTCCAACCAATTAATCGCTCACATCATTAAACTTGACTTCCAACTACCTTTAAGTCTGACTACCATTTTATCCTTTCCGGATATAAAAATTTATTTAGCGCTAATTCAATTCCTTAAAAAGGCAAATATTACTATATAAAATAAACCTTGTCTGGAATTCGTAACTATTCAGTTATATCCACCCCTTTTCTTTCCTTCTTACCGTCTCTCACAATGATCAGATAATATAAATCCATTGACAACATTTTGTGGCAAATGGACTCCAGTTTCCAATGCCAATATTTTGACACACACACACACACACAACTCCTCGGCCTTTCCGAAGGAAGGCAAAAGAATATAATGCGGTTCGTTTTTCCGAAGTGCAGTACGATTTTTGAAACGTTCAAGAATGATCTTTGAGATCATTCATGCGTTTAAGGACCAAATAAAAATTATAAAATTTTTGCACACAACGTGTATGGCACATGTAATCCGGGTCATGAAGATAACGAAAATAGCAGGAGTAGAGGGATGAGGAGTTTCGCCAGCACATATCGGAAGGCACGGCAGTGAGATAACGTCATTACGCCGTCGTCCCATCCTGCCATCAGCAGCACACGTGCGTCGTTGCTGTCGGGTCGGCACGCATACCTAATCAAGCACCCTCCCGTCCCTTTGCCTGTCCTCCCTTCTGGCCTCCATTTCCCAACGTCCCCCGCTGCAAAGTGTCCAGTAACCGCAGCAGCAGCAGCAGCAGTCACATGGTCTGCAACTCGCCTCCGCGCACCGCTGCGTCTTTTAATTATGATTCACTCACTCGGAGATAACTCTCATTTCTCCTCTTACTCCTCCATCTCACAACCTGCTAGATGCGTCGCTTTGCGATTTAATGCTGACTGTTTGGAGGTACTTACAAAGTGCACCTACCGTGAAATTGTATTCTACAGGGTATAATTTAATTGACGCCTAAAAATGCAGGATATGATACCTTAACTCATTTTAGGGAGAAAAGTTTCTATGTCCTAAACCTCTTCATTTTTGAGCTGCAGGGTGTTCAAATTTTAAGAAAAAAATCGTTTTCTTATCATAACTTCAATACTGATCTAGATAATTTCATGAAATTTGACATGCATATACTAAGTACCAATAATAAGCATTCCTGGGTGTAGATTATTTCTACCAGTGCGCAATTCCATGGGAATGAGGGCGGAAGCATGCATACTAAGTGAAGGTGGCCAGTTTCAACAATTTTTGTAATCATTTCTTTGGTTTTAATGCCATGTTTATGTTGTCAGTTGTTGTTCATTACCCCTAATGTGTTTGATTTTTCCAAATAGATTAATAATAATTTTGCAAGTTTGACAATAGAACGGTTTTTATTTTTTTACTCACAAAAGGCGCATCGAAAGGAAAGCAATTCAAGAGTGATCATTTGTTTTAAATTGAACGGGGAATTCAAAAATGATTTATTTTTTTTTAAATATCGAAGTCAATACCCGTACGTACGGCACTGTTAAAGCTGAAAATTTGTTTAAAATTGAAAAATATGCAACTTTTTTAACTTTCACTACATACTAAATATCAGTGAAATATCTGAAGCGGTTCTGAAAATATTGATTAATTTCCATTTTTTTCCTAAAACTTCAACATCCCGAGTTTTTGTAAGGAAACAGTTTTGGACCATAGTTTATGAAGCAAAGTAACATTGATTTTTCGTCTAGATTCACACCCTTAAATATTCGCATATCATTAACGAACACCCTGTATTTACATTTGTTTGAAATACTGACTGTACATATATGCACATGCTGTATTACGTGCGCATGCGAGAATTATGTTTCCCCATCGACGAATTATCGTTCTGCACACAACAATACAACTGCATCAGCCTTTTATTTATATTTCAATTTGAGTAATTATTAACTGAATCGGGCAGTGGCAGAGCATCGATTCATATTTATTGCCCGGCCAAATTTATGGGCGTTATTAATACATAATTTAAACGGAATTCATGTACAGCCAGTTTAGATGCTCAGAATCGCATTGGTTCGTCGAATATAATAATGAATGACGTATTGATGGGTCTGTTTTGTAACGATAAATCGGTTACAAAAGACGGTATTGGATGATGAAGCAGTAGTTGCTGAGAATGCAGGAACGTTTATACCCTCTATCTACACTGAAAACAAAATACCGCTAAGTAGCGCGATATTTTTTTTATAATCCAACCGCCACGAAGGCCTAAGGCCTAAACACCCATGGGTACCGTGGGGCTATATAAAGGGTGTCTCAGAAATATTTTCGTTTTTAGATCAGTCCTCTGGCGGAATACGCATGCTCCGGAGAAACGAGACAGTTGACAAACGTTTGGCAACATTGTTAAAT